TCAGCTGGAGAGCACCGGCAGAATAGATGGCTTCAGCAAACCTGTAACAGAAAGAAAATGCTCCGGCGGTGGCTCTTCCACCCAGGGGCACTCTGACGATCAAGTCAGTATATCTCTCAAAGATAATCAAGTGCTAAACTCACAAGCTTGAGTATAAAACTGTGTACCTTAGACCCACGGGGGTGCCTCTCTTTTATAGTTTACTCAATCCAAGTCCTACTAGAAGCCTGACTTCTATGAACTCCAATTTAGTACTTACTTTAGATTCCTCAAGAGATAAAGATAAACTCCCTAAGAGCTTTATCCTTATCTTAGCAAAGTCTTCTTTTTACTCTAGGACTCTTGTCCCTTATCCGCTTATCTCGGATTCTGATATCTTCGGAGAGAACCTCGGCATTGTCAAGATAACCTCGACATAACTACCATGACACGTGGCACGTCGGCTGACACGTCGGCGTTACCATGCCACATGCTGGTATTCAGAAAATACATCCCACACTAAGTATGAAAAAATATTATATATTTTTTATTGCACAAACTTTTATGCAGTATATATATTTTGGGAAGATGATTATAATTAGTTTTTTGGTAAAAAACTGCTTATAAGCAGCTTATAAGTAACTTTTTTGTGAGAAAGGAAGTGTGTTATAATCTGGGAAGCGGATTATAATCCACTTCTCAAAATGGCCCACAATTTATTTAAACTTCATCATACAGGCCTTAGAAAATATATTAACAAAATTTAATTATTTATTGGTTAAGACTTTAATAAGCCTCCGTTTAGAAAGTGGGTTGGCGTTTTGGCTTTTTGATTTTTTTGATTATTTTAGCATGGGCTAAAAAATTTGGTTTGGAAATGACTTTTTAGTTTTTGATTTTTTTAACTTTTTTTTGTAAAAAAAAATATAATAATTATAAATTAAATATGATATTTTATTTATTATGATTAAAATAATTTATTTTATTTTTTATGATTATTTTAACTCTAAAATCACTTGCCACCTAAGTATCTTCTTGATGCATCACTTACCTTGCCTTTTTCTTGGGTAAGCAATCACTTACCTAGTCTGTTGTGTATAATTGCATGCTTCCGTCAAAGACATGATTAGATGCATAAAGTGGAGGTAATAGAACATACACAAACAACAAGATCTTCATCCTTCTTACATTTTTAAAATATTTAATTCCTTTTATACCCAAGTTAATTGTTTTCTATCAAGACAACAAAATTTGTAATTCTATGGGTGCCTTCGGCAACGTTTACGTTTTTAATTTATATTTACAAAAAATTTATAAATTAGTTTTTATTTATTTTTAGAAAAATGTAGACTAAAAACACGTTTGGTAATTGACAAATGTTTAAAAAAATTTAAAAATATAAAAAGAGTGAAAAATGACAAGTGGTGACAAGTGACGGCGGAAGACGGTAGTGGAAAGTGGTGACGGTGGGTGGTGGGTAGCTGGTGGTGGTGGGGGTGGTGGCTGTGGTGGTGGTGGGGGGGTCCTAGACCTAACTAGATCATAATTAAATACATCATTAAGGATCCAATCCTCCTCCTTTCATTACATTAATGTGAAGCCTCGGAAAAATGTATTTGAATTATTTCCTTAAAGCTCCTTAGTTTCTTAAATTATTTCGAATATTATCAGTTAGCATTTTTAATTTTTATCGGAATAAGAATATCCTAGCCTAATTAGGTTCCTTAGCCTAATTTAATTTAATTATACATAAGTAAGGTTCCAGTGCATGAGTTTAATTCCAACCCCTCACTTCTTTATTTAAATTCTAAATTTACCCCAAACTAGTACTTGTACCTTGTATCTTGAAGTACCATCAATCTTGTAAGATATATATATATATATATATATATGTATACACCTTGTAGAATGTGCCCTAGGACAAAAAATAATTAAAATAATAACCCATCACACTTCCCCAAGGCTCATGATTATAAAATTCTAGAAAACAATGCTAGTTGCTTTTCAACTAAGAGCCAACTAGATGATGCCTAATCCTATGATTTAACACCTTAATCACTCCTATCCCTTTTGATTCCAAGCAAAATTCTAAACTTTCCATCCATTTCCAACTAGTGAGCCTTTATGTCTTTTTACACCAATTTGCCTATAAATACCACCATCCCCTAGCTTGGCAAGCACAAACAACACACTCACACACACATTTGGCCTAGAGGAGAGCAAGAGAGAAGTTTTGAGAGGGAGAGGAAGGAAGAGGAGAAGTCATATTGTTCAAGCCTAGCAAGCAAGCCACCAACACAACCTTCTCTTTCATTTTCCTTTTTTAATACATATTCCTAAGAGTTCTAAATAATGTTTTCAGATCTGTTGTTACTGAGTTCTTATGTTAAAAAAGATAAGGGTTGAGTATTGATTCCATCTCTCTTGTATTTCCTCCATTTTGGCACAAAACAATCTCTTTTTATACCAATCTCTCAACTTTCCAAGGGCACTCTTTCAAGCAAATTTTCTGAGTTAAATATATGTTAGTTAGCATGTTTTCTTCACAAAAGAAACAAAAACTCTCCCTTGGTGGAACCCTTTTCTCATAAATCTTCATGTTTGGACATAGTACCTTAAAATCTGTTTTTTTCAGCCCACTTCCAGAAATTCTAGGAAAATGTAAAAAATTATTCTGGACCTCTATTTTATGTCAAAACCTTCCTTAAGGTGTTAGCTTTCAACTAAAATTGATTTTATCGAAAAACATTAAGCGGTTTGCAAGAAAATCAATTTTTCATAACGGTCGACGGATCTGGATAGAATCTGGACAGCGCTGTCATATTTTCTAAATAACTTAGAATCTGGAAAGGCAATCCCATTTCCGAAAAATGTTCTAGAAACTAGATCAAATTCCCTACGAACCATAGGATGACCAGGTCCGGTGAAGGATCTAAAATAGACCTTTCATTTTAATCTTTATGTGATACTAAATCTGAAAATTTTATTATGTGTGGATGTTTTATACCCTTGAGTTCATGAGATTGCTTATTAGCTTATGATCATATCTTGGCATGATATTATATGTGTTGTGGTTATGTTATTTACCTTTCTCATCTTAAGAATGCATGCTTATATGGATATTATTGTCTTATAAGTTGGACTAACCTTGATTTTAAAATATTTAATTCAACGGGAAACCTAATTGGGTGGGTATTGGGTTTTAGAGCACTTGAGTAATGAAAAAATGATAATATGTGACATATGGATTGTTGGGATGCGTTCCCTATTTGAAGGTTAAAGTCTTGCGTAAGCAATTGTCGCGTAAACCCTGGAATGGAACGGACGTATTCGAACTCTTTGCGATGGTTTGATTGGTGAGATAAGGTTGGGTCTGGATGGGACATTCAGGAAGATAAAACTTTTTTTGGAAGGATGAGGTTGGATTCAGGAGATAAAACCTTTTTCTTTTCGCTGTCCCTTTTGAGGCCCTACGGTTGGCACTATGCGGTATATAACCGTTGGTAGGCATCCGAGGTTAGTTCTGCAACAAAGCAGCAAAAGGGGGAGTTCCGAATAGTCCGGTGTCCAATTCTTGTGGTTGGGAGGATGAAATCTCTTTGGGGGATTTTTAGAACACTAACCACTAACATTATAACCTTGTTATTTATCTGGATGACATGCTCCTTTCCTCTATTATTGAAATTGCTGTTATTGACTTGAATATCATGCTTCACTACTTGTTTGCCATAAATGTGATGGTGTATTGGATTGGGAAAAAGGGACGGGGTGTGTGTGTGTTTACTGGGCATTCAAAGCTCACGGCGTGTCATGCCAGGTGCCGAAGAGGAGTTAATAGCTGGAGACGACGAGCCTGAAACCTTCAAAGACTTTTGGCCATCTTAGGAAAGTTAGAAATCCCTTTTAATATTTTGTAAGGCTCATGTGAGGATTTAAATTTTCCTTTTGGGAAGTAATGTAATGGAACAAGCCTTTGGAATTAAGAATATTTGTGGTTGTTATGTACTTATATTCTATATAATTATATGTATAAACCTTATCGTTGCTTACGAGACCTTGTGTCAATACCTTTTAAGATCTGTCAAAAGGGTAGTGCGCTGCCTTAGAAAGCCGGACTTAGAAGGGAGGATAATTTGACTCCTCCGGCGATTTGGGATCTTACTTGGTTATTGACCATAGGACTCATTAGTGACTCTCCCTTGACTGCAATCAATAGTGTAGATTCGGGACGTCACAACTTGGTATCAGAGCCTAGGTTCAACCCTTACCCACACATTTCGACTTGCGATTAGAGATTTCCTTGCCTCAACTATGTTATATTATTACAACACTATTTACTCTATCAACTAAAAGACAAAAAAAATTTGCTTAACCGACCTTAGGACGTTTCTTCGGATTTCAGGCATGGCAGCGTCGGCTCGTTAAGCTGTACACTGGTGCTCTAGTTGGAATCGGGGAGCTGAAGAAAGCATCTGAATATAAGACCAATAGAGCCAAACTTTCATAATGAAGAAGGAGGACCTTGATCAATAAATCAAGACATGCGATTTGTTCAAAACTATTAAGAATAGCGACGGAATCGGTTGTTGAGTAGGACTATGTTAGGAAACATAGTATGAATTACTTAGATTAGAAGCATTTCACCTTAGAAATTCCCTTAACTAACCGCGTTAGCAAAACCCTAACCTGCACCTAACTGTACGTGGCAGATGGTGAACCACACACGAGCAAACAATTACACTGGTACCAGCGACAACACCAACTACAACAATGACGTCAATCTTAGCAGGAACGGCACAGCTGGGATCAATAATCACATTCCTACACCCACAACCAACCTACCCGGGAATATCAAAAATCGAATTTTGGAAGAATTAGGAAGGCTGAAGAACACACGTCAGAATGAGAGGACACATCTATTCTTCGAATTTCGCAAACAGAGACCGCCAATCTTCATAGGTGAGCCCGATCCTAAGATCACTGAAAGTTGGATTTGACAAATTGAGAAGATGCTGGAGACAATGGGAATAGTCGAGCATACAGACAAGATCGCTCTGGCCGTTTACCAATTGGAAGGTGAGGCAGACCATTGGTGGACATTAATCAAGGAATCTAGGGATATCACGACTATGACTTGGGTGCAATTTAAAGAATCGTTTCTGAGGAAATACTTCCCACACACTGTTAGACAGGAAAGAATTCGTGAGTTTCAATTGCTAGAGCAAGGCACGATGACGATGACCCAATACGTGGCGAAGTTTGAGGAATTAGCTCGTTATGCGACTCGATATGTAGCCGATGACGAAGAGAAAGCACGAAAATTTGAGTGGGGTCTAGACCCTATAATTAGAGGAAGGGTTTTTCCCTTGCGACTCCCTACTTTCGCAAATGTGGTGGACACGACACTAGACGCAGAACGGGAGGTGGTAGATACCAAACGGATTTGGAGCTTGAAGAAAGAAAGTCAATCCCATGTGGGACCAGAAAGAAACAGTCGAAGACATGTAGTACCAAAATCGTACTCTAGGGCACCACCACAACAACAACTACTACAACAACAACCGCAACTACAGTACCAGAAGGAAAGCTTTCAAACAAGATCAACTTGGCCGATCTAGTGTTACTATTGTCAACAACTGGGGCACAAGAAGAATGAGTGTCCCCAACTCGTCCAGTCAGGAAATCAAGGAGAAGGTACGAAAGCAAATGCACAAGGGATTGATGAGCAGAAGACATGGAAGAACAAGCCAGGTCTAGCCAGTCAACAATACCAGAGGGAAGGAGGCAACAAGAGGCCTAGGCTCAATAATAATCAGAGGCCAACTGGTAGAATATTTGCACTACAAGGAGAAAAATAGGAAGACCTCACTAGGCAATACCGTGAGAGCAAAAAATACAACGCATATGAACCCGAGGAACTGCAGTACGAGCCTTGGTTAACCTAGAAAAAAATGTAACTAAGCAATTAGAACTCCTTTGGAATGACTTTTTGTAATCTGAACGTAGGTGGTGTAAATTTCCTTTATTTAATCTAGTCTTAGAATTTGTGGGTACACATTTTATTCGTCGCAATCCTTCATATCTGCAATTTGTGTTAGGATGTAGGAATTATTTGCACAATTTTCGAGGCACCCCACTCCGATCTCATCTTAGAAATAGATTCGCTACTCGTACCTTAGCAATTATCAATAGTTACCAAAAGAAGGAGATGACTTACCCACCCAATGGAACGCTTTTATTGTTTAAGAGGGATATATTAGTTTCCATGATTCAACACAACAATTTGACAAACGCAATGGCATCAACAAATTACCAAGGGATTAATTCTTAGCAAGAGCATAGATCACCAAATCAGGAATTTGGCAATACAAGCCCTCACACTGGAGCAGCAACATCATTACCCATATAGTGAACAGTTCAAGAAGCACGGGGGGCTAGCTTATCTCTTTAGTCATTAATCAGGGAGGAATTCGATTCAAAACGCTATTATTAGAATAAGACCAATGGTGGCCTGACAAAGGAAGAAGAACTTGAGGGAAGAAGATGATCCGGCTAATTGCCTACAACAATTTGAGGCATGAAGAATGACAGAAATTTCAAGGACGAAATTATTTTAAGAGGGATAGGTTGTAAAGCCCCTGAAAAATGTACTTTCTTAAAAAACCCTTACATTTGAATTATTTCCTTAAAGCCCCTTAGTTTCTTAAATTATTTTGAATCTTGCCAGTTAGCATTTTTAATTTTTATCGGAACAAGAATATCCTAGCCAGATTAGGTTCCCTAACCTAATTTAATTTAATTCTACATGAGTAAGATCCCAATACATGTATTTAACTTCAAGCCCTCACTCTTTTATTTAAATTCAAAACTTACCCAAAAGCTAGTACCTTGTACCTTGAAGTACCATCAATCTTGTAAGATATATATATATATATATGTATTCACCTTGTAGAATGTGCCCTAGGACCAAAAATAATTAAAATAATAACCCATCGCACTTCCCCAAGGCTCATGCTTATAAAATTCTAGAAAACACAACCTAGTACCCTAGACCTAGGATACAATTCTCAATGCAAGTTACTTTTCAACTAAGAGCCAACTAGATGATGCCTAATCCTATGATTTAACACCTTAATCACTCCTATCCCTTTTGATTCCAAGCAAAACTCTAAACTTTCCATCCATTTCCAACTAGTGGGCCTTTATGTCTTTTTACACCAATTTGCCTATAAATACCACCATCCCCTAGCTTGGCAAGCACAAACAACACACTCACACACACATTTGGCCTAGAGGAGAGCAAGAGAGAAGTCTTGAGAGGGAGAGGAAAGAAGAGGAGAAGTCATCTTGTTCAAGCCTAGCAAGTAAGCCACCAACACAACCTTCTCTTTCATTTTCCTTTTTTAATACATATTCCTAAGAGTTCTAAATAATGTTTTCAGATCTGTTGTTACTGAGTTCTTATGTTAAAAATGCTAAGGGTTGAGTATTGATTCCATCTCTCTTGTATTTCCTCCATTTTGGCACAAAACCATCTCTTTTTATACCAATCTCTCAACTTTCCAAGGGCACTCTTTCAAGCAAATTTTCTGAGTTAAATATATGTTAGTTAGCATGTTTTCTTCACAAAATAAACAAAAACTCTCCCTTGGTGGAACCCTTTTCTCATAAATCTTCTTGTTTGGACATAGTACCTGAAAATCTGTTTTTTTCAGCCCACTTCCCGAAATTCTAGAAAAATGTACAAAATTATTTTGGACCTCTATTTTATGTCAAAACCTTCCTTAAGGTGTTAGCTTTCAACTAAAATTTGTTTCATCGAAAAAAATTAATCGGTTTGCAAGAAAATCAATTTTTCGTAACGGTCGACGGATCTGGACAGAATCTGGACAGCGCTGTCATATTTTCTAAATAACTTAGAATCTGGAAAAGCAATCCCATTTCCGAAAAATGTTCTAGAAACTAGATCAAATTCCCTATAAACCATAGGATGACCAAGTCCGGTGAAGGATCTAAAATAGACCTTTCATTTTAATCTTTATGTTATACTAAATCTGAAAATTTTATTATGTGTGAATGTTTTATACCCTTGAGTTCATGAGATTGCTTATTAGCTTATGATCATATCTTGGCATGATATTATATGTGTTGTGGTTATGTTATTTACCTTTCTCATCTTAAGAATGCATGCTTATATGGATATTATTGTCTTATAAGTTGGACTAACCTTGATTTTAAAATATTTAATTCAACGGGAAACCTAATTGGGTGGGTATTGGGTTTTAGAGCACTTGAGTAATGAAAAAATGATAATATGTGACATATGGATTGTTGGGATGCGTTCCCTATTTGAAGGTTAAAGTCTTGCACAAGCAATTGTCGCGTAAACCCTGGAATGGAACGGACGTATTCGAACTCTTTGCGATGGTTTGATTGGTGAGATAAGGTTGGGTCCGGATGGGACATTCAGGAAGATAAAACTTTTTTTGGAAGGATGAGGTTGGATTCAGGAGATAAAACCTTTTTCTTTTCGCTGTCCCTTTTGAGGCCCTACGGTTGGCACTATGCGGTATATAACCGTTGGTAGGCATCCGAGGTTAGTTCTGCAACAAAGCAGCAAAAGGGGGAGTTCCGAATAGTCCGGTGTCCAATTCTTGTGGTTGGGAGGATGAAATCTCTTTGGGGGATTTTTAGAACACTAACCACTAACATTATAACCTTGTTATTTATCTGGCTGACATGCTCCTTTCCTCTATTATTAAAATTGTTGTTATTGACTTGAATATCATGCTTCACTACTTGTTTTCCATAAATGTGATGGTGTATTGGATTGGGAAAAAGGGACGGGGTGTGTGTGTGTTTACTGGGCATTCAAAGCTCACGTCGTGTCATGCCAGGTGCCGAAGAGGAGTTAATAGCTGGAGACGACGAGCCTGAAACCTTCAAAGACTTTTGGCCATCTTAGGAAAGTTAGAAATCCCTTTTAATATTTTGTAAGGCTGATGTGAGGATTTAAATTTTCCTTTTGGGCAGTAATGTAATGGAACAAGCCTTTGGAATTAAGAATATTTGTGGTTCTTATGTACTTATATTCTATATAATTATATGTATGAACCTTATCGTTGCTTACGAGACCTTGTGTCAATACCTTTTAAGATCTGTCAAAAGGGTAGTGCGCTGCCTAAGAAAGCCGGACTTAGAAGGGAGGCTAATTTGACTCCTCCGGCGATTTGGAATCTTACTTGGTTATTGACCATAGGACTCATTGGTGACTCTCCCTTGACTGCAATCAATAGTGTAGATTCGGGGCGTCACAGGGTGGCAGGTGGGTTGCAGATGGCAGATGGTGGGTGGTGATGGTGGGTGGATGGGTAGGTGACGGTGACGGGTGGTGGGTGGTAGCGAGTGGGTGATGGTGGTGGCGATGGTGGCAAGTGGGTAGGGGATGACGGGTGATGGTGAGTGGTGGCGGGTAGGTGGCGGGTGCTGATGGTGGTGGATGGGTGGGTGACGGTGGCAGATGGTAGGTGGTAGCGAGTGGATGGTGGTGGTGATGGTGATGGGTGGTAGATGGTGGTGGCAGGTGGGTGGCGGGTGGGTGGTGGTGGTGGGTGGTAGTGGCGGGTGGGTGGCAGATGGCTGGTGGCTGGTGGTGGTGGGTGGCTGGTGGTGGCGGGTAGGTGGCGGGTGGTGGTGGCGGGTGCTGAGTGATGGTAGCGGGTAGGTGGCGGACAGTGGATGGTAGTGGCGGGTGGCGGGTGGCGGGTAGATGGCAGGTAGGTGGTGGTGGCGAGTGGGTGGCAGGTGGGTGTTGGTGGCGAGTGGTGGTGGCAGGTGATGGGGGGA